TCCTCTTCCTCCTGCTCCACTCTCTCCTTATTTCTCCTTCCTGGCCACCATGAGGTAAACATGGCATTCCTAACACAATGTACGATGCTATCACAGGGCCGAGTGACGTTCCTCCTCTTCAGTTGTTTAACTCAAGTAATTTGTGACCATGGAATAAAGTGGGTAAGGAACAGAAAATAGTCCAGACAGCACTGACAGCTGGCAATGAAGAGTGAAAAAGTAAGCCAACGTGCAGTAAAGGCTAGGGTATATGGATGAGAGAACTGCAGATGATGAATGATTGCTTGACTTAACAGATAAACCATATGGGTTAGAATTCCAGGGCAACGTATCACTGGAAGAAGAGTTTACGAACGTATCATGCCAGACTTGAAAAGGACTGTGAATATGCCCTTACGGATCCATCCCAGGATGTGAGGGATGTCCTTGCTGCTGGACTTCACCTTGAGTACTTGGAATCCCAAATTCAGAAGCAGGAAACACACTGAGATGGACTTTAGTCCCCACAGGGAGCACCGAAATGCACAGTGATCCTGCATATTCAATAGCACAGGGGAGACGTCACATCAGTATCTCCTGAAGAAATCTAGGAGATAAGTTCAAATTGGGAGTTTGGGGAACAAAGTCTAAAGTATCTACCTGAGGTCTTTTCCTCCTTAACCAATAGGTTAAATGTGAACATAAGTGGAAACCTCATCTTAAAACCATGTGTAAGACTTTTCCAGAAATTTAGAGTGCTTAGATCCCAAAGTTTTGTTGAACTCATCTGAATACAATGTCTTTAATTACTTTGGGCTTTCCTTTCCCTTCCCACCCCCCCCCAGCCATATCATAGAGCCAAGGTGTGAACAAACTGAGCCATAGCTCAGCTACAAACCTGTTCCCTAGTCAGTGTTTGAAAATGCCTTTGGCATTGCCAAGACTAAAATGTTTCAGTTCAGTTCCATTTTTCCCAGAGGGAACGCTGATACTGTGAGAGGAAACTAACTTGGGAACAATGGTGCATTCCCTGTGACACGCCCACAGCAGCCAGCATGGTACCCAGTGCTCAGGGATCTCCATTGACTGATGTGTGAACCAATTCTCACTCTCTGAGGGAAGAGAGCTGCTGAGGGGGCAGTTAGGATCATGGTCCAAGGCTAGCTGTGCAAAAGTAGGAGACCCTGTCTGAAAACCCAGCTGAAAGGCGCAAAAGGTTAAGGGATAGTAGGACTCTCTCCTAGCAAGCCCAAGGCCCTGTGTATAATCCCAATTATCATAGAAGAAGAAAGAGAGAGAATAGGCAGAGAAGGAGAGAAGGAGGAAGGGAAGGAAAAATTATATAAATGGGATCACTTTAAAATGTTTAACAGAGTGCTCTACCAGCAGGGTGGACACATTGCTTTGTGTTCAAAGACAAATACAAGGTCAAAGCAGTGGTTAGTTCAGTCTGGGATCAGTCCTTTCTCTGGGATCAAGTTGAATGTTTTATTTGTTGTACATTTGGGCCTGGAGAAGAGTCATTCAATCAAGCTGACTTGTGGCACAAAAAGGACTAGTTCACCATACCTACTAATCACATAAATGTGGTTATGGAATGATATAAGATGGTTTATGAAATCATTTCAGAGCTCTTTTCAGCAGTAATTATAGCAGTCCTATAATGCCTTTCAACCAAGTGACATTGGCAAGAATCAGCCTAAGCATCTTTAATATTCTGATGAGAATCACACAAAATTACCACTGCAATAAAATGACAGGGTTGCATTTAATTTCTTCCACTGCATTTCTTTTATATTTTCCCCTTTAACATTAAAACATACTTCATAACATTTCATCCTAAGAGAAGGCTGCATAAGTTTCCAGTTGCTGTAATATAGTTAAACCATAAAATTGTTTCCAGATTACCAACCATGAAATGGAAAGACAATCTTATTTATGAACTTATAAATCAGATAATCTCCCTCAAAGGAATCCTGAAACCAGAAATACTTTCATGATTAAACAGGAGGAGAAAAGTTTCCTCATTATCATGTGTCAACAGAGATATCTTTTTGTAAATGGCTTTGGCTGAGATTGTGAGTGCGCATGTGTGATTGATATGGGGTACCTTGTAGCTCCCACCATGCTCACTTGTCCAGCTAATCTGGGAGAGGAGGAAAGAGTATCACCCCCTTCCACAGACAAGCTCAAGTGTTTGAACTGCAAGGAAGATAACAGTGAGCCATCTGGCTTGAATTCAGGGCCTGAGCACTGTCCCTTAGCTTTTTTACTTAAGGCTGGTACTTGAGCCACACTTCCACTTTCAGCTTGTTGCTGAATACGTGGAGATAAGAGTCTCATAGACTTTTCTGCCCAGGTTGGCTTCAGCTATGATCCTCAGATCTTAGCCTCCTGAGTAGCTAGGATTCTAGGTGTGAGCCACTGGCACCCAACCATCTGGTATATTTTGTCTCCTTCCTGGTGTCCTGTCAGTGACACAGCCTGAGAAAGACCACCCTGAGAGTGTTTATGTCCCAATCACAGCTGCTAAAAGGAGAATCAAGAGCCTGGATTGGACTAGACACAAGGCCTTTCCTCCAAAGCACCCGAACTGCAATACACAGTCACCCCAGACAGTTCTACATCTGTGTCTAGACCAGCCCTGAAGATTATAGGAATGGAATGCAGTTAGGAAATGTCTTTCCCAAAGTCTTCAAATCATTATCACAGGTAAGCCTAGGGGAAAAGCCAAGTTACCCACTGAGCCAAGAAAGGTGCCAAAGGCACATCAGAAAACCTGTAGTCTCCCAGGTGAAAGTGACAAAGCCCAGACAGTGCCATTCTGCAATTCTAGCTACACTGATAGCCAGGTGAAGATAATGTCCTTTATCCAGAGGTACTCTGTGCTTTACTTTGGCTTTCAATGCCACTGCTTTCCTTTGTTGAACAAGGTAATGAAAACTGTTGACCAGCGCACGGCATTAGAGAGAACACTAGCTTAACCCTGATCAGCAGTGTCCTGTGGCCAGTGTTGGAATCCCAGGATTGCCTTCTGTCCTTGGCCTCATAGCAGATTCTTGGTTTCTCTTTAGCTACAGGCTTGTCCTCTCCCTTTGCACTTTATAGGATGTGGTAAGATGGCCAGCTTGTAGCCTTGAATGCAGCTTCTGTCTTAGGGTCATGAGTTTCATTCCAAGCACTGTGGCAGACAGAGCCAGCTCCTGTGAAACAATTACTCCCAGGGAGGTGGTTCATTTCCAGTTTGTATGCATCCAAGTCACCCATAGAGAAGACAGCGAGGTCACCCCCACCCCCATGGCTTCTGGGATACCATTGCAAACTGGGGGTCCATAAATTTTGTGTTTCTGAAGGTATTTTACTAACTTTCTTTCCTAATTTGAATTTCTAATTAACCTTTCTCTTTGACCCGTTGACCATTTATAGCAAGAGAAATATAGGAGCACAGGTGTGACTGAAGATGCTCTCTGCTCAGAGGCTTACCATGCTGGGATGTCTGAACTATTTGTAGTCTCTGCATGGTGAGATGTCTCTCTTCCACCCCATTAGAAGAGAGAGATCAGACTATCAATACTCAATTGTTGGGTGGTGTGTTTTCCCCCCTTTGGTAGATTTCTAACCATTAACTATACAAATTCTACTACATATACTCAAGAGACTTGGTTCTGTGACAACGTGCCTACTTTAAACCATACAAAGTATACAGCATTCTGAAGTCAGAGCATGTCAGTGAATCGTGGAATTAACGCTTAGCATTTCACAAGGTGTAGAAGGTTATATTTCAGATGCAAAACTCAAGGCCCTGTAGCATGAGAATGTTCTCCATTGCTGTGAAGTTCAAAATATCCATGCACCATCTATCAGTGAGCCCAACATCACAAGTTGCTCTATTACTTTTCCATTGAATACCAGGTAGAGCATTTCTGTTACAACTGAGAGGCCCAGTATATGAATAGACTGTTTGTATACTGTACATTACTCACACTAGAGGCCTTTCAGGCTGAGACTGGATGGTGATGACCTATCTCAGGCTAGATCGGTGGCCACTGGACATCAGCCCCTGGAATACATTGGCTATATGTGATATGCTCATACTATACTATTTGAAATAGTCTCCCTTCGCTTTTTTTTTCCTGTCTTTAACTACTAACTATGTATACATAAGTTCATAAGAGATGACACAAGATACCACTTTTCTTAGTCCCTTACATTATTTGTATAATGTGTTTGGGGAAACAGTAATAGGACGGTGAAATATTGTCTGAAGGCCAGAAATGTGAGCCTGATGTAGCCTTTCAGCAGAAAGCCCGAAAAGAGAGGTACTGTTCCTGTCTATGGTCAGCAGCATTTTTTGTTTCTGTTTTTCTGTTAATGCCTTGGGATGGTCCAGTTGTTAAGGATATTCATTTTCTTGCCTGACCCTGTAAAATCCTCCAGACTAAAGTTTCTGTGGCATTAGACTGAGCATCCTCTATACCCAAACACACATTTTATCTTAGTCTTCATAAGACAGTTGTTTTGTGTTGCCTATGGGTCACGAAACACTACATATAACTATACATACAATACGCATCACCATCATTCATGCCAAAACCTGAAGCCTCCGACTGAGAACAGCTTTGCAGTGTGTGAGTTTGTACAAGAGCAGGAGTGGTTCATCACTGGTCCTCAAGATAAGCCATTTGTGCAAAGTAAAATAGCAAGCACAATGCAGGAAAGCTCAGAAACACATGGAATATGCACAGATTGGTTTCTGAGGAAGGTGTGGTTTTCAAGTCCTCAGGAGACCTCTGCCGGCTTGTGCAATGTCTTTCTTGTGAGGCCAAGGGCCTAATACCCAGTTCTGGACTCTTGATCTCAAGCCAAGGATTTGTGGGCTCTTCAGGATTCTGAGCCAGATTGGGGTGAACTTTGGTGGCCTGCTAGGTGGTACCTTTTATCATCTTTAAGTAGATCACTCACGTGGAAAAACCAGTCTGAAAGTCAACAGAGGTTTAACAAACAATTCTCTTGTTTTCCAGAGAGAGGATGCAAGCCATGGAGAAGCAGATTGCTAGTTTAACTGGCCTTGTCCAGTCAGCGCTTTTTAAAGGGCCCATTACAAGTAGTAGCAAAGATGCATCTAGGTAAAATAAATAAATAAACAAATAAAGCAAGCCATCCCACTTAAACAGTGATTCAGTCTGTTTCTCTATAATCATTAAGATGGTTCATTCATTCAAATTCATTTCCTCATAATCATTTCAAGGCTGAAAATATTCTTGTCTCTACGAATCAGGGAGGTAGATGGGTTTTTGTTGCTGTCTTTGTTGTATGTTTGTTTTTGTTGGTTTTTCCTTCCGGTAATTCTTGGACCAAGGTCACACTTGGGCCCAAGAAAGGTAACTGGGCTTCTCAGTGCATGTGGCTTTGTGGACCGCCAGCTAGCTGCACGGCGCCTGCTCTCACACATGCGCACAGCGCCACCATCCGAGTCACACTTGCGCTTTCCATCACAGTGCCGGCTCACATCTGGGAAGCCCTTTCCATCTCGGCCAGTCATGGTGCTGAAGCCCAGTACCCTCATTGCTTACTTCGTCCCATCACTGCTGCTCCTTGTGTAAACCAGTGAGTGGGAGGGGGCAGAAGCAGAAAAGGCATTCGGAAGTGGGGGCTAGATAGAGCTGACTCTGTCCTTTTTCTTTCATCCAGTGAGAAAATGCTGAAGACCACGGGCAACAGAAGCCACACAGAGAGTCCTGGTGAGTGAGTATGCTTGGGAGCTTGAGGAAGCCTGCGGGTACCGAAGTGGCTGGCCTTTCCCTGAGTCCCCAGTGGTAACGCTCTGCCCTGTCTCCAGGTTCCTGCTGATGTTCAGATGCCACTTTTAATCATTCATGGGGCAAAAGCATTGCACTCTTCCTTCAGTTTTCATCCATTCCTTCTTTCATTTATTCATTTATTCATGCAGTCATACATCTAAGACATATGCATGTGCCTGGCCCTGGATACAGTGAGCATGATGCACAGGGCTGGCTGCCTGAAACTTGGAATGTATGGGGAAGGAGAATGGGGGTCAAGTGATTTTATGTGTGGTGAGTGTCGAGAAGCGCATATCATGCTCCAAACCCCCTGGTTTGGGGAAGCTGCATCTGCTAGTTTTGTGCAGCCTCACAGAGTGCTCAGAATTTGGGACTTTGCTGGCCCAGCCCTGCTCAAGCCCTCACTGAGTAGTTCGTCTCCACAGCCAGCAGGGCCGCTTCTCCAGCTTTTGCTCAGAGATCAATACACAGCTTGGCTAGCACTGTAGAATTATTTCATGGCAATTGCTAAAGTTTATCTTTAGAACAACTGCCTGTTCGTTCTGGGGAGAGTCATTCAGTCCCTTATTTTGATATTGATGATGAATGTAGGGGGAGGGAAGGAACTTCCTAAAGGCTAAATGCTTCCATCCCTGCGGAATCCAGGCCTGAAATGATTCATATCTGGTACCATTGCTCTCACCAGCCGGTGCATGCTGATTTCCACTTTGGTTGTTCACAAGAAGGGGTGGCATATAATGAGAGTGTGCTGCGTGCAGGGCACAGTGCTGGGTATTTTCATGTGTTGCCCTCTGAGCTCTGCAAGGGCCAGCTATCATTTTTATTCCCATGGTCCTGGTAAGGGAACAAAACACACATCCCCACCCGTGATCGGTGTCAGCATAACCCTGCCTGTCATGTTATCTCAGTCTTATGTATTAAGATGCTCCAGCCCCTTGAAAGATAAGTGGTTTTATTTCTTCATGTGGAAATATTTTTATAAATGTTCTTCTTGAGCAAGGTAGAAGAAGCAAGTGTCGCTTTCTTGAATATGTTTCCCAAAGTGGAGTCTGTAAGTCCAGAGGGATAGGTGGTGGCCCTGGGGACACCGGGAGCTTTGTCTTCCTGTAGTGCATTTTGCTCCCCATGTCTCTGGCAGGTTTGCTTTTTCTTCTCCCAGTGTATCCAGGTTAGACATTGTCAAAGTACCTAAAGAGGGAAACCTGGTTATATGAAGAGCTTGGTACTGTACTGGTGGATCACACCTTTAATCCTGGCAACTCAGGAGGCTGAGATTTGAGGATCAAGGTTCAAAGCCAGCCTATAAAACTAACTACCAAAAAAGCCAGACATGGAGCTATGACTCAAGTGATAGAGCATTAACCCTTGAGCAGAAAAGCTTAGAGGCAGCCCCCATTCCCTGAGTTTCAGTCCCAGGACTGGCACAAAAGGAAGAAGGATACAAGGGAGGAAGGGAGGGAGGAAGGAATGAAGGAAGGAAAGAAGGAAGGGGGGAGGAAAAACATGACAACCAAGTTGTGTCAGATCCCAAATCATTGTTTTCTGTCACAAGGTACACGAAGCATCAAAAAGCACAGTTGCTAAAATTCCAATTTAGACAGAAGTGAACAATATGAATTTTCTGGCAAAGGTGAAACCTAGAAAGGAAGAAAGTTCTGAAGGTGAACTTGAATCTCCTTATGCCCTCTTGAGCAGGAAGGAACAGAATATGACCTTGATGTGGCGGCTTGCCTCTCTCAGCCTCCAAGATGCCAGGTCTTGGGAATCTAATCTGAGCAAGGATCTGCTGGAACCCCTTACCACATATCCACCTGAAACTAGGCTTCAGATCTCCCCTAGCTGCCCCCCACAGCCCCTGCCCTCTGGAGCCCCTGAGACTGAATGAAGGAGGGGAGCTCTTTAAGCAGTAGGTATTGGGGAAAGGCTTTGAGCCTCCCGGGGGATGCCTGGGTGCCAGACACAGGCTATATTGCATATGCTGACTGCATTCACCCACACACTTAGGCTGCCGCCCATTTCGCAGGTAAGGGTGGGGCAAAAAGAGATTCAATTGCTTGCCCTAGGTCACTTGGGAAAGTAAATACTGAGAATGCCTCCTAGGCTCTAAGGCGAGCCAGGGAGTGAATAGGTAGGTTCATGGACATAGAAAGAGGTTTGGGGACACTGAGCAGAGGTGATGCACAGAACCTGCTTTAAAGCCATGGCCATGTGGACTGAGATCATGGCAGGGAAGCAGGATGTGAAATATCTTGGCCGGCAGCAGAGGAGGTGATCTCTAGAAAAGGGATTCCACAACTGGTGGAAAGAAGGCAGGCAGGGAGGGAAGGAGAGACGAGGGAAAGAGGGGAGAAGAGAGAAAGAAGGGGGGAAAGGTGAAAGAGAAGAGAAGATGGGAGGAGAAGGAAGGGAAGATGGACAAGGAGAAAAGAAGAGCAAGAGGGAGGATAGAGGGAGAAAGGAAGGGAGGGAAGGAGGGAAGAAGAAAGTGAAAGCAGAAGGGGGAAGAGGAAACATAGGAGAGAGACAGGAAAGGAAGAGAGAGGGAAGGAACGAAGAGAGGAAGGGAGGGAGAGAGAAGACAAAAGGGAAGGAGGGAGGTGACCAGGAAGAAGGAGAGAAGAAGAGTACGAGGGAGGGAGAGGAGGGAAGACAGCTTCTTTGACCAGGTGCCATGCATGCCACGTCTAGCTACCGTGCTCTGGCAGGAAGTTTCTAGGTTGGGACGTTTAGCTACCTGTGCCCTCTCATTGTGTGACTTACTGATTTTCAGACTGGAAGAACCCCCAGAGGCCTGTCTTGGGGTGGGTCTCACAGCTGACTCTCCTGTGTCCTGAGACCCTCTGCTGCTCTTTTCTCAGGAGCTGCTCAGACATCTGGAGGGAAGAGTCTAGGCACCCTGGAGTCCACGGGGCCTCCCAGCCAGCCCCTGCCTGCCAGCCCCTCAGCCATGCACATGAGCCTGCTGGACATGAGGCGCAGCGTGGCGGAACTACGGCTCCAGCTGCAGGAGATGCGGCAGCTCCAGGTAACCGCCGTGCACCGGGCCTCTGCCCTGCCTCTGCCTTCTGCCATAACCCAACCTGCAGCACCTCTCCCGGGTCTTTCCCCCCTCCTTTCCCCTGGCTGCCATCTTCATCTTCCTCCCAGAGGGCAGATTCCAAGGTGCTTCAGTCAGACTAGAGGGTGGTGATGGTGATGGTGATAGTGATTTGCAAGGAACTGTGATATGCTTACAATGACAATAGAAGGTGATTTCATAAGACATGTCTGTTAGGAGGATTGGTTGAGGAAAACATCTGCATGTAATTTGGATGGTTCTATTCCAGGTGTTCCTACCTTGCTCTATTGTTGATGAATGACTATATAAACTATAGGGCAATGGTAGGCATGGGGGGGCGGGGGGATCACCCTTCATGCCACAAATCCTGATCCACAAATCCCATATCCGTGGCTCCTGAGGAAGGGTGTATTATCTCTTCAGGAGATCTTGAGTCTGCATCCTAGGCCAGCCTCAAGCCCATTTTGGGCTGTTTTGGGTAGCAGCTGGGCCCAGAGGATAGTTGTGGCTTAGAATGTACTCAGACATCTCCATAAAGCTCCCTTGAAGCTGCTGAGGACCAGGTTCTCAGTACCTACAAGGGTGTCATTTCTTGAGCCCAAAGGGTACTCTCAGGATAGAAATTCGAAGCAAGCTCTTATGCCCCTTGGCATACTAGTGACAAATCTAGTATTGTTTCACCCCCGACTAAACTTAAATGATTTTGGTTTGTTCTCTCTGCCTACCAAAAGACCACCAAAAAAAAAAAAAGGAGCCAAGAGTGGTGATACCTGCTTATAGTCCCAGAACTCAGGAGCCTCAGATGGGAGGATTAAGGGTTTGAGTCCAGCCTGGGCTACATGGGGAGACCCCATTTCATAAATTTAGGTGAAAGGGAGATGTTCCCTGAGGCCCTGGAATGGATCAGGAGGGTGACTGCTCAGTTCTCAAATCTCTCTGTCTCTAGAGTCATGTCCTGGAAATCCAGGACAGTTGATGCAAATGTATTTAAGTCACTAGCAAATCATACCATCCCTTACATGGGCTTCTCTGCGCATTGCAACTTTTCGGTAAAAGCAACTTTGCTGTGAAATGAAGCATTCAGGTTGAGCTAGGGCCATGTGTGGGAACCAAGAGCCAAATGCCTTCTGTGTCAAGTGAGGCCACAAGCAGGGTCCAGGACAAACTGGCCCCTGAAGAAAGTAACTCAATTCAGATAGAAGCCTTGGCCTCTCTCTTCTAACTGGAAGCTACAAACGCTGAAATACACTAGTATTTCAAGATAATCTGGAAATACAGACTTATTGTTAGGAGATCATTAAGGCTCATAGTCTGAATACTCAAAAGGCCAAAGGTCTTACCTGCCGGCCAGAAAACCTCCTTCAGCTGCCAGGTTCTTGTCTAGGTCTCTGGAATGAAACGCCTCTTCCCACTGCTCCTGCCTTCTAGCGCCATCTGCTGGTTCTTTACAAGTTGTGCTCTCCCTGCTGGACCTTAGTAAAAGAAATGAATATATCATTTATATAGCAGTCCTTAACTGCTCTCAAAAGTGAGCAGGTTTGAGTTTGTAGACAAGGATGGAATTGAATACATAGAAATGTCACATTTGCAACTTGGTGGCTCACTTCTGTAATGCTAGCTATTTGAGAAGGTGGAGATTGGAAGGATTGTAGTTCAAGGCCAGCCCAGGCAAAAAGTTCTCAAGACACCCTGTGTCGGAACTAAACTAACAGCTGGGTGTGATGCTCACACCTGCAATCCTAGCTACTCAAGAGGCTGCAATCTGAGGATTGTAGTTCAAAGCCATCCTGGGCAAGAAAGTACAGGAGCCTCTTATCTCTAATTAACCACTCAGAAAACCGGAAGTGGTGCTGTGGCTCAAGTGGTAGAGCGCTAGCCTTGAGCTGAAGAGCTGAGGGACAGCGCCCAGGCCCAGAGTTCAAGGCCCATGACCGACAAAATAAATAAATTAACTAGTACTCTAAGTTACACAGGAGTCATCATGAGGAACATTATAGTCTAAGACTAGCCCCAAACCAGTCTCCAGAAAAAGAACTAGAACAGAGAGAAGAGAGAGAGAGAGAGAGGGAGAGGGAGAGAAAAGAAAGACACTGGAGTATGGTTTTAGAGGTAGAGCACTTGCCTAGCAAGCATGAGCCTCAGAGTTCAAAATTAAAAATAAGCCAGAGTTCAAAATTAAAAATAAGCCAGGTGGCTCGCACCTGTAATCCTAGCTATTCAGGAGGCTGAGATTTGAGGATCGCAGTGCAAAGCCAGCCAGAGGAAGGAAAGTCCAAGAGACTTTTATCTCCAGTTAACTGCCAGAAAACTGAAAGTAGAGCTGTGGCTTGGTGTAGTGCACTAGCCTTGAACAAAAGAGGTTAGGTTCAGCACCCAAGCCCGTGTTCAAGCCCACTACCACCACCACCAACAACAACAACCAAAAAAAAAGTAAAAATAAAGACATTAAGACCAAAACTTGACATGCATCTTTCTAAGGAGCTGAGGTGAATTTGTTAACCATGGCTGCAATGTGGATGACCAGCTACCCCCTGTAGCTGGCTGGCATTGGCACCTGACTGGCTGGGAGAGGTCTTCACAGCATGCCCCCACCTTGACCCACCCATGAGCTATGGCTCAGGACAGGACAGTCACATTAGTCACCAAGTTCTTCAACCAGGGTCCAGCCATGCTATGGGAACCACACAGATTCCTTTAGTACTCCAGGGTGCTCAATTATTGGCTGGTGCTCTGGGAACCAAAGAGTATGCAAAAGAGGGAAATTAAATACTGTGTTTCCCCCTCCCCCCACCTTGATGCTATTATCTCTCTCTTGGCTTTACATTTTCTATCTCCCAAGCTCCCCTCCCCTCCGGCTGTTGGCTTCTTCAGTCAGGGGAGTCTCTGTAAGGCAAAAACAACTAATAATAATTAAGCTCTGGCAGCACCAATTCTCCTTCGGCGGACTATTATTACACACCAAAAATCAGTGCATCTCCAAAGTGATTATCACTCCAATAATGGAGCTATCGTCAGAGATATGTGAAGCTCTCTACAACAGTCTCCAAAGAACAAAAATTGAATTAGAAATTCAAATGTTCTTTGAGCTGTGTTATAAAATCATGAAAGTGAATGAAATCTTTTGTGCTTGGCAGCTAGCTCCAGTAATTAGATAATTAAATCATTGGGAACTCTAGACTGCAAGCGTCTCATATTTGAGCACTCCATTTGCAGAACTGACGGGTTCTATGCAGGAATGGAAATGAGAATGCAGATGCAAAGGGTATGGAGATTTTCACAGGGCAAAAGGGACATCAAGGAGAAGAAGGAGCATAGTTACAAAACCAGTAACCAAGAGTCACCTACACACACACACACACACACAGTCTGACTTTATGGTGTGGATTATGATAAGAACTCTTGCAATCATGATGTGAGGCTAATCCAGGCAAAATCAACTCAAGACCCTATCTTGAGCAAGCTAAAAGCAAAAGGCCTGGGGTTTAAGGCTCCAATGGTACAATGCCTGCTTAGCAAATATGAGGCCTTCAGAGAAGAGAAGCAGTTCCGGCACTGCCAAAGAAAGGAAGAAAAGGAGGGGAGGGAGGAGGCAGGAGGAACTGTTCTCAGTTCATTAGGAATGTTCAACCCAATGAGGTGTCTTGTGAAAATATTGAGGTCCATTCTGCTGTCACAAAGGGAAAAGCAGGGGTGCATGCAGTCCCAACTACCCTGTAAGTCTAGGAGACACAGTGACTGAAAGCTTCGGTGCACTGGCTAATCAGTGTGCCCTCTGCTGAGTTACACGCGGTGGCAGTGCTGTGTGTGTGTGTGTAGTTCTTACCTGGGCTGAGAGCCCATGCCCACATGCTATCTGTAATTGGTCAGCAATAGTGGAAAGGGCCTTATAGCTTACAGAGGGCCTCCAGAGGGTGGTCATCTGAGTCTATTACCCTTCCTGATACACTCAAAATGATAAAAATAAAATTGTGTATGTGTGTGCACACGCGCACACACATGTATGCTGATCCCAGTTCTAGAATTCAGGGCCTGGGTGCTGTCCCTCAGTGTTATACTCAAGGCGAGCGCTCTACCACTTGAGCCACAGCTCCATTTCCAGCTTTTTGGTGGTTAATTGGACATAAGAGTCTCTCAGACTTTCCTGCCTGGGCTGGCTTTGAACCATGGTACTCAGATCTCAGCCTCCTGAGTAGCTAGGATCTCAGGCATGAGCCACTAGCTCCCAGCAAAAATAAAACTTTCTGATGAATGACAACCTTCCCTCCAACCCCCAAATGCCCCAGCACTTAGCAGTTTTGCCACGACAATCCTCCAGAGCCCCAGAAGTGACTGTACTTCTGTTCTCCTCTGTGGGCGAGGACAGAAGGATGTTTCTAGAAGATAACAGGTTCTGCAGAGGCCAGAGGAGATTGGCAGAATAGATACATCCTTCTCCTCTCTCAATTCCATAGTTCTTGCTTGCACTCCTTATTCAACTTCCAACTAGCTGAACTTCCAATTATTTGGGACTTAGTGTTACATTTTTAAGATAACTGAGAATTTGCTCTTTCTTCCTAGAAGAGGGAGGATCCACACAGCAAAAGAGCCAGCAGAACACAGAGCCCTTGTCTTTGAAAAGCTAGTATTCAACAGTTACCATACTGTATCTTTTGGTAAAATGTTGCGGGGCATGAGAAATGTCCCAGAGTTTTAATCCCATGAGGGAGTGTGAGTAACCCCAGAAAGAAGTTGCCCCATGTGAAACAGACTTGCCTTCTCCCCGACAGGAGGAAATAATACATGGAACTACTAAAACTGTGGACATTGGCTGCTGAAAAAATTCCCAAGCCATAGCCAGATGTTTAGGTTATAGGCATCTGTCCACAGTGGAAGAGACAGCAGCCATACACAACATGCCTCCGTGACCAGGTGCCCTTTGGTTTGTTCTCAAAGCCACAGGGAAACTTCTCCATATGGCCAGGAGTCATTCTGGGGTCTGGCTGTATGCCTGATTGGCGATATAGCCTCTGTTCAGTGTCACTCCCAGACAGCCATATCAGGTCCACCCTCCTCCAGGCTGATTTACCTGAAAAATAGAGAATGAGCAGAGGAAGTACAAGTCTACGTGGAGATGGATGAAATTCGATTTCAACAGTTTTCTCCTTCATTCATGGACTTGATGTAGCTAACTCATTGAGTCCCGTTAAAATTTTAATGGCCAAGAACATTCTGTCTGCCTTAAGTAGGTTTATAAAAATGTCAAAGGCGCGTTCAACCAATTACATTCCCAGCTATGAGGGAGTAGTTGCAATCCTTCTTGTCTCCCTACTAGATAACTAGAGAAGTGAAAAATGAACAACTTTCAGACCTGGCATAACAGGTAACCCAGGATGTCTAAACAAAGCCTGCAGCTGAGCCAACTTCCTGCTGGAGGCAGAAGAACTACAAGGAGGGAGGGAGGGAAAGAGGACAGGAGGGAGGGAGGGAGGGGTGGGAAGGAGGGAGAGAGGGGAGGGATAATCTGAGCAGCCCTGGGATCATCTTGCTGGGCTGGAGAGATAAGATCAAAGTGTGGAGGGCTGAAGCAGCTCCAGTTTGTGGAATGGAGTGCCAAGAAGAGGAAAGCTCTGCAGAGAAAGAAATCTATGGGTCATTGTTGAGTAATAAGCCAAGCACGTGTAGCATGAACAGACCCCTAAGCCAGGCAGAGGCCAGAGTCAGCTAAATATTGTCCAGCCCTCACACAGGCCTGGGAGCTGTTTGTTTCAACAAACAAGAGAAAAAAATGTGACCTGTACCTAAGCAGTTTGTAAATGCCAGAAGGGTTATGCCCTTTTGTCCAAATAAGCATCTAGCTGGGTGCCAAAGGCTCACATCTATAATCCTAGCTACTCAGTAGGCTGAGATTTGAGAATCATGGTTCTAGTCCTACCTGGGCAGGAAAGTCCATGAGACTCTTACCTCCAATTAACACCCCCAAAAGCCAGAAGTGAAGCTGTAGCTCAAGTAGTACAATGCTAGCCTTGAGCCAAAACGCTAAGGGACAGCACCCAGGCCCTGAGTTCAAGCCCCAGGACCAGCACAAAAAATAAATCACTAGACATGTTAAGGATGCTGAACATGGTGACCTATAACCTTTAGAAAAACAACCAATAGAAGCCAGCCAATATATAAATAAAAGAAAACATAACCAAGGGGTATGACCTCATTAACATAATAAAGAAGGAAAATGGAATTTCAATAAACACATGTGACAGAACTTTCCATTGCTAACTTAAAAAAATAAAAGCAAGCCAGGCACCAGTGGCTCACACATGTAATCCTAGCTACTCAGGAGGCTGAGACCTGAGGATCATGGTTTAAAAGCCAGCTGGGCGGGAAAGTCCCTGAGACTCTTATCTCTAAGTAACAACCAAAATGTCCAAAGTAGAGCTGTGACTCTAAGTCACCAGGATTAAACAAAAAAAATCCTCAAAAGCAGTGTCCAGGCTCTGAGTTCAAGCCACAGGACCAGCGCATGTGTGTATGTGCACACACATGCGTGCAAACACACACACACACTCATGTTTATGCATCATTTAGTAGTATATAAAGGGGAAGAAAGTCCCTTAATGTACAGAATGCAAATCATGGTGAAAGGCCACACACATTCCATAACATGGGGAGCAAGGAGGCCAAGGAAGTCTCCATTGTTTACAGTGTTCTGCACATCCTGACTAAAATAAGAAGACTAGGAGGAGGAACAGACGTATGTAGAGAGGAAGTCAAAAGTTATAATGTCCTTACTCACAAAGGATATTAAAAGCCTGGGAGTGTGGTAGAATGCTTGCCTAGCATGCAAGAAGCCCTAGGTTCGATTCCTCAGTACCACATACACAGAAAAGACAGAAGTGCTGCTGTGGCTCAAGTAGTAGAGTGTTATAACTGAGCAAAAGAAGTTCAGGGACAGTGCCCAGGCAGGTGTAGTTAAATACAATAAAATGTATTCATTTTAAAGACCCACTTCTGTCTTGACAAAAGCACGCACTGGTGTAACTACCACTAAAAAGAACATAGCATAAAAAAAAAATCTGTCCCAAAAGTTCCTCTGGATTCTTTGCAATCAGCATCAGGAATTCTGCTGTCTGTCACTGTGGATGAGCTCTTCCTGTCCTCTAGTGTCATCCGAATGGAATCTTCAATGTGCACTCCCTTTTGTCTGGCTTCGTTTGTTTGTTTGTTTAGTGCTGGGATGGAACCAGGGCTTTGACTATGATACTGTCATGGACTCACACCCCAGTGCATGGCTTTTAAGATTTTAAGCCATATTGTGGGATTCAGCCATTTACTCTTTTTATTGTTAAGGGAAAATCCATTGATAGACCCATTAATTGAAAAAAATTAATATACTGACTTGATTGTGGTGATAGTTTTAAACTCACATATTTCTAGTATTATTTTTTAATCCCACGAACCTTCCCAGAATAGCCTAGGAAACCAGAAAACTTAAGGAAGCGATGGAAATTTACTAACTGATATTTCTGGGGGACTTCTGGGGTCAAGTAATAATATCATTGTTATTGTTAAGGCTGGTGGGGGAATTCATGTGATGGATAAACTGCCAGAAAATTCTCCTGCCCAAGGACTCAAGTGTTGGGTTGTCATCCTCTGATCTGTGGAATGAGAGACTTCTATAAACTCAATGAACATTCTGGGCTTAGGTGCACAAGCATCCTTCAACAAATCAAGGAAAACTAGCCAACTGCCAAAGGCCTTGGACTCATCTGAAATGGTTCACTTTGCTACTACTAGCATGAAGTCTTATGTTTAAGGTTCTGAGCCTATGGTGTTGCTAGCTGGCAAGCTACAAACAGGTGGGGCCGCAGATTCACTAGGAATCATTCCATAGCTGTGTAGCTCACATAATCTTCAGAATAGTCATGCCAAGTTGTAGAGAAAGAGGGAAATAAAAATGGAGAGCAACAGAGTCTGGAATATGCCAGAGTTGCACAGTGGGGTCAGGAGAAGATTCAGAGGCTGATTGAAAGAAAGTCTGCTTGGCCCCAGAGTCCGTATTCTTGGCTGCTCTGTATGAAACATATCCATGATTCACTGACCAGCACATACATAGAGAAAGGATCCTAGGTTTAGAAGATACAGAAGTCTGGTTATCACTTGGCTCCTCAAATTCAGCTGTTGGTTAAAGAAGGGATAAATAGTAGACAGTTTTGCTTCCTTCCCCTTCTCAGAGAAATACTAGGCTGCAGGCTGTTTGTTTGAATCAACTTCAGAGGTCATTACAATGCCAACCAAGCAGAACCCATTGAGGCTGATTTCTCTTGTCCAACAGCTGAAGAACCAGGAGCTGCTGAAGGCAATGATGAAGAAGGCAGAGTTAGAAATCAGTAGCAAAGTGATGGAGACCATGAAGAGACTGGAGGATCCTGTGCAACGACAGCGCACCCTAGTGGAACAAGAAAGACAAAAATACCTGCATGAGGAGGAAAGGATTGTCAAAAAGTTAAGGTACCTGTCAGTCACTTGTGGCACGTACCGTTGTTTCCTCTGAAAATTGGCTTTGCTCACCAGGGAGAGTTTCTGGGTTGGTGTTTTCTCCCTCCTTCTTTTATTGAGTCCCTACAGTGTGCAGTCAGAGTTTTACTATTCCCAATACCAATACTTCTCCACGAAGTTCTGGAAGAGCCAACAGTCCCTACCCGACCAAAGCTAATTTCTTTACAAGTTAAAACATCATACTCTGTTCTGAGGCCTAGCACACATCAAATCAAAGGGAGAATGGCAAAGCCCGATAATAAATGAAAAATCTGCATTTAATCTCAATAAATTAAAACTAAAGAACAATATGACAGCGCTAAAACTGTCTTCCTGTTAGCCAAGCATACTTTCCCCTCTGGCCAACCTGATATCCTTGTCAACTGGCCCACAAAAGGTAGAAAGTCCTTTACACCCCTGCAGAATATCCCAAACCAAACCCAGCTCCCTCCATTGGAGTGGACATGAAGAGAGGGACTGGGTGGTCGATTGTGGAGGCCTAGGTGAGTGTTTGCTCCTGTATCTGTGCTTAGGTTCCTCTGGGTGAGCTGCTTCTAACTGTTCTGCTTCTCTCTCCTTCCCCGCCCCCCAGCGAGCTGGAGGACTTTGTTGAAGACTTAAAGAAAGACTCTTCATCGGCCAGCCGAGTGGTGACTCTGAAAGATGTGGAGGACGGGGCATTCCTCCTGCGGCAGGTGGGGGAAGCCGTGGCCTCTTTGAAAGGTGAGTGCTGTGCTGGAGAGAGGTAAGAAGTATGCGTTCTAAGGTGGTTGAGAGCCTTTCCGATCTGTCTGTGTTGGGAAAGGTGGTTTGTGCCATCATGAGAATTGAGGCACTAAGATCACTCCCAGGATTTTGAGACCAGTCTAGGGAACAGGGAAATACCCAATCTCAAAATTTAAAATAAAAGTCTGGGAGGAGAATAAAGAAGATTGAGGACAATAGTTCATAGAGGGAAGGGTTCAGGGAATGTGATGGAGGAGGTGGGAAGGAAGGAAGGAAGGAAGGAAGGAAGGAAGGAAGAAAGAAAGGAAGGAAGGAAGGAAAGGAGGGAGTGGGGAGGGAAGGAAGGAAGGAAGGAAGCTGAACATGGGGATTATGCCTGTAATCCTAGCTTCTCAGGGGACAGAAATGAGGAGAATCTCTGTTCAAGGCCCGCTCAGGCAAAAATTTTTAGAGAGACCCTAATCTCAACCAGTAACCCAGTCATGATGGTATATAGACCTGTAATCCTACCTATGCAGAGGGCATAGGTAGAAAGATCGTAGTCTGAGAATGGCCCCAGGTACAAATTCAAAACCCTATTGAAAAAAATAAAATGAAAATAAGCCATCTATCAAATAGTGCAGGATGTGTTCCTTCATGCATGCTTGCAGGCACTGTCTGGGCACTCAGGACGTGACACAGAACGAAGTAGCCTTCTATTTTAGTGGTCGCTGTAATATGTAAGACTTTCAAGGATACTATAAACCCTGTCCTTTCACTGGGCCCCTACAGAATATCAGGACAGCTGAGCCCATTCATTAAAAACAGCCTAACATTCCATCCCAAATGTACAAGATCTGGGTCTGCAGGAGGGGTGAGCACTTTCCAAGTGCTTGGGATAGGGAGGAGGGATCTAGGGGCGAAGGTTCTGGCATTTTCCTACAGTTTACCAGCTGCTTTGGCCCGCAGGAGAATTTCCAACCCTACAAAACAAGATGCGCGCAGTGCTGCGCATTGAGGTGGAGGCCGTGCGCTTTCTGAAGGAGGAGCCACACAAGCTGGACTCGCTGTTGAAGCGCGTGCGCAGCATGACCGATGTCCTCACGCTGCTGCGCAGGTGACCCGGCGGTGGGGCGGGTTCAAGCGGTGGAGGGAGGAGACCGACCCCAGCCTAGCGGCTTCCCACGTTTTATTTTCCTTGCCTGGGGATGAGACCCCTGCGGCCCCTGGAATTTGATTGCCATATGGCTTCTCCTTGGATTTAGAATGAGTACTCATGAAGCCAGGATCCAGGGGCTCAGGCCAGTACTCCTAGCGACTCAGCCTCCTGCGCTGAGATTGAGAGTTGAGGTTCAAAGCCAGCCTCAGCAGGAAAAATCCACAAGACTCTTACTTCTGTTTAATCAGCAAAAGGCCAGAAGTGGAGGTGTGGCTCAAATGGTAGACAGCAGTAGTTTTGGGTGAAAAAGCCAATGAAGGGAAGGTGGGCCCCAAGTTCAAGGCCCAGTACCAACACACACACAGAGCATTACTGTAGGTGGGCTGGCATGTGTCAAGATGGGTTAAAATAACATTGTCAAGTTTGAGAAGGGTTTCACTTGCAATCTTATTAGCCTCCTTCGCTTATGGGCTGACTTCTGAGTTCAGTTAGAAGAAAGGAAATAGAAATAAATTAGTCTTTCTTCAACGATCTGCTACGACAGCACCTAAGACCATGCCAGGACCACCTCTCAGAGAGAACTCACCCCGCCCTGACATGAGCCTGTCCCCTCATCAGAGTGAGCCCATCTAGCAAGGAGGCTCAACTGGGGAACAGACTCCAGAATCCATGCTTGCTTTCACTGAAAAGAAAATTCTAGAAGTTCATACTCAGCAAAAGGGCTTACAGGGCTGGGGGTATAGCCCAGTGGTAGAGCACTTCTTGTGAGCTGGACCATTTTTGGTCTTCAGCATCACCACCAAAAGGACAAACAAATACCTACAAGTAAGTGTGGCACTGATGTTTCAGAGACTACACTGGGAATCAGCCTTCTGTATTGTTGTCTGCGATGGCTTTGAACTAATTGCCACAGAATCCTTCATCCCTGTACTACTCCTTGGAGCTCAGAATAGCCTCACCTCCCCTGACTCTGGGATGAGTTCTCTCAGGGATACCACTATGGTAATACTCAGGAGACACATTTCAACAGCTCATGTTGCCATGTGGTTTCTCCTAGACATGTCACCGATGGGCTCCTGAAAGGCACGGATGCAGCCCAGGCCGCACAGTATGTCGCCATGGAGAAGGCCACAGCTGCAGAGGTCTTGAGGAACCAGGAGGAGGCAGCCCATGCCTCTGGGCAGCATGGCGCGGGAGTCCCTGGTGATGTGAAGTCAGAGGCAGTGGCCTTGGCTGCTGGCGTGACTGTGCACCACGCGCAGAGCTCTCCGGTGGTCATCCAGCCCTCCCAGCACTCCACAGCCCTGCTGAACCCTGCCCAGAACATGCCTGGTGGCACAGCCAGCCCCACAGCAGCCCCACAGGAAGTCACCTCTGTGCTGCAGTCGGCTCCGGTCCCCCAGTCCCCTCAGACACCTGTGAATGGTTCCACCATACAGAGCTTATTCATTGAAGAAATCCACAGTGCAAGTGCAAAGAACAGGGCAGCATCCATTGAGGTAGAGCCCCATCTCCTTTCCCCCTGGGAGGCCACAGTCTGATTGTAGAAATAATAATATAGGAAGGCAGAAATAGATTGGAAATAGATTTTCTTGAGTCAAAACAGATTAGTGAAGTTATAATAACTGAATAGCCAGGATAAGGAAAGGTGATCAAGCTTGAAACGCATGATGCCAGACCTGGAAGAAGGGGAATTGTGTGCTGGGAATACGTAACTGGCCTGCTTGGAGAAAGCCCCAACTTGCAGCATTTGCCTCCTGGTGTAAATCCTCCCACCATGGAAGATGTCAGAAAATCATGCCAGTGCTTCCTGAGCCACTGAGTGCTGATTCTAGCCTCCATTTTGTTGAGGGCAACTTAGGGACAGAAGGACACTGGAAGGCTGCAGGGCCTGGGGATGCAGAGAAGGGACCAAGACATCGTGGGATGGGGATGCTAGAGCAGATAAATCTCTTCAATGGCAAGTGAGGACATCAAGACAGAAAACCAGCTGGAAGCACATTGCAGAGAACTTGAGAATCAGTCTGAGATAGGGGGAGTGTCTTTTGAAGGTATCCAAGGGTGCTACAAATGTAACCCATGATTTTAAACAGCATCTTTAGGAATGTGGACATAGCCTACAGAATTGCCTGAGGTGGTAGGTCTGGTTTTAAGGTAGCTGAGGGAAAGTGATTGCAGTTATCATAGAATAAAAAACAGAGGCAGGCAAAACTGAAAGGGAGGACCTGGCTGGAGGGATGGCTTGGTGGTAGACCAGTTGCCTAGCATGTGAAACTTGGGTTTCATCTATAATATTAGATATATTTACTCCTATATACTAAAAATATCCTTAGCTTTTCAATATTCTTTTCAATATTCAAAACCAATTTTGCTTCCCTACCTCTTTCCTCCCCCCTCCAGAGCTTGTCACCAACTCACTTTATCTCTACCAACCTTGTCCTAAGCTTTTCTGTCTCTCTTACCCACAAATGGGGGAAGGGAGGTAGTGTTGAGATGGCAACTTAAAACTGCCATGGTTTCCATGTCTGGCTGATTGATTGAAATGAGGTTTTTGTCCAGGCTGACAGTGAACTGTGATCTTTCTGATCTCTTCCTGACACCTCTCAGGTATTATTGGTATGAGTCACCATACCTCCTCTGAAAGCATGTTCTGTGTGCCAAACATACTTTTGAGAGCATTTTTTTGTGTGCCTGGTTTTGGATGAGAGCCTACCTCTACCTCCTGAGGAGCTGGGATTACAGGGATGAACCAACAAAACCAGCAAGATTTTAAGATAGGTTCTCTAACTTTTTTGCCTGGGCTGGCTTTGAAATATGATCTTTCCATCTTAATCTCCTGTAGAGCTGGGATCACAGGCATTTGCTACTATTATCAGCCACTTGTGTCCATTTTTATTTATTTCCCAGCAGAAATGGGTTGTAAATACTCAGTAATAGTTTAAATGTCCAGGGCTAAGGAAAGTTTTGCGTGTGCAAGCATGCCTCACATGGAAACCAGCACGTTATTTTACCAACACTTCGGTTGTGCTCCGCCCGCTTCTCCCTGCATTGTGACTAAATTATCTTTTCCTTCTGGCTTTGAAATTTGGCCTCACAGAAAGCAGAGCGGAAATGGGAAGAAAAGAGGCAGAATCTAGACCACTACAATGGGAAACAGTTTGAGAAGCTCCTGGAAGAAGCTCAGGCCAACATCATGAAGTCAATTCCTAACCTGGAGATGCCGCCAGCCTCAAGCCCTCTGCCAAAGGGAGGAGCCCCAGAGGACAAGCGGGAGCTTTTGGGTAAGGCCTGGCCCCATAGCACCTAATCTGGAGTTGCAAGGCCTGGCTGCCCTCGTCAGTGTCCTGTCACACACATATGCTCGTGTTGGGCCCTGGGACACATCTCCCTTCTTAAGGAGCATATAAAATTGGAAAGTTGGAAGAGCAAATCTGAGTTAGGATTTTGGAACAATATCCAAAGAAAGAAATCTAAAGTGTAGTCCCGCATTTCCTACGTATGTGTGTGCAGCAGCTGGAAGAGATGAGGCCTCCATCCGAAAATGAGGGTTTCTGTGCCTGTGTGCCTGCGGTGAAAAAAAGGAGGAGGCTACAATGCTTGATAAGTAAAGAAATGTACTCATTGGGGCTGGGAAGATGGCTCAGTGGTAGAGCACTTGTCTTGCATGCCTGAGGCCCTGGGTTCAATTCCTCAGCACCACATAAGCAAAAAAGAAAAAATCCGGAAGTGGCGCTGTGGCTCAAGTGGTAGAGCGCTAGCCTTGAGCTAGAGCTGAGGGACAGAGTTCAGGCCCCACGACCAGACCCCCCAAAAAAAAGAAAAGAAATGTACTCATTATCTTGCCCATGTAATTGTAACCCCTCTGTACAGTATTTTCACAATAAAAAAAGAAAATGTGATATATACATATATATATATATATCACACACACATATACACACACACATATATATATAGATATATATAAAAAAGAAAAAAACCTAGCTTTTTTTAAGCACTCAAAATAATAGAAGCCAATTTGCATTTTGCAGATCAAAATTATTACTGTGTATTTAACTGGCTCAACTCTGAAGTTGAAGCCTCAGTGTGTCAATAATATAATATACAGACATGTGCCTCTAGAAACGGACCACATACATGATGGTGGGCCCCTGGAATGACATGCTTAGTGACCTCATCACCATCTGGTTTGGGGGTATCTCCTATCCTGTTCACACACCTTCTGAATGGCCTCAGAGTCATTGCCCTAAATGGCTCCTGTCCTTACTTAACTCATGATTAACTTTCTAGAAACTTAATTGTCCTAATCTTCTCCCAGTGACAGCTATGCGCCTTTTTCTGACTGATATTTTACTTACAGCCTGATGTCTTTGTTTTGTTTTGTTTGTGATGGCCTTGGGGCTTAAATTCTGGACCTGGGCACTGTCCCTCAGCTTTTATGCTTAAAGCTAGTGCTCTATCACTTGAGCCACAGCTCTACCACCCCCACCCCCCCTTAATTGGAGATAAGACTGTCACAGGCTTTCCTGCGTGGGCTGGCTTCAAACCACAATCCTCAGATCTCGGCCACCTGAGCTGCTAAGATTCCAGGCGTGAGCCGTTTGGCACCTGGCAATCGGATGTCTTTGAATGCCATGCTATTGCCATGATGCCCAGCCACTGAGATGAGCTGGAAAAGGATTTGCTATCTTGCCTTGCACTTCCAGGAACTTTAGAGTCGATTCAACTGAGAACCTCAGGAACCTTCCCACCCAGACTGCCCTTTGTTCCATTCCCTAATCCTCCACTCACTGAGTCTGCCTGTGTGTGCTACGGGCCCCATCCATCCTCTTCTCCATCCACCTCCTGTAAGGCCTTTCTAGGCCCCTGAACAGCCAGATAAAAACTTCCTGGAGAGGGGAGACCCCATCAGGACTGATTCTCTCAGAAAGCAAACTTCTCTGCCAAAGTCTTCAGGGAGAATTTCTGAGGATGCAAATGATTCACCTCATCCCATTTTTTTATTTTATCCTCCACAACTACCAAACTCCCCGACCCCATTTTTTTTTTTTGCCAGTACTGGAGATTGACATACTTTCTAAGCTTTTCCACTCAAGGTTGGCCCTCTACCATATGAGCCAATCTTCCAGCCAAGTGAGAGCACGAGGTCTTAAGTTCAAGCCCAGTAGTAGCACAAAACAAAGCACCTTTTTCTTTTTCCCCAAGCTGAAAGGAAGAAGGCTTTGCAGTCCCTACATGGATTCTTACATTGCCTTACATGCTCTTCAGACTTTTTGCATAAACAAGACACTCATTTAATAAAAAGATGAAATAGTTTGCAGCATGTCTTCAGAACGCCAGAGCTATATGTGCGTGAGTTTGTGAGGCTTGAGACACCCCAGTGAGAAGGGCAGCGTTGTAACACCCACTGTAAGAAAACTGAGCCCAGGGGCTGGGAAGGTGGCTCAGTGGTAGAGCACTTGCCTTGCATGCCTGAGACCCTGGGTTCGATTCCTCAGCACCACATAAGCAAAAAGAAAAAAGCC